TGATTTAGGCTACTGACTCAAAATGTATGAGGATGATCTAGGATTTTGTCTTAATTCCAAAATCCTCACTGGGGCAATTATTTCATTACAGTCAATGTAAAATGTTGACACATGCCAAACAAGTTGCATGTTGAGCAAAGCAACCTGGCAATTGTTCAGGAACACTTCAAACCTTTCTTGTAATTCTGTGACACTTTGATTGGTTATGATAAAGCCATTGCCCTAAATGTGGAGTTTAGATGTGACTTTTTTCTTCTTACATACCTAAAGCAGTTCCTTTTGACTTTTCTATATAACAACGTGGCTATAATTCTATAGTCACTTGGGAATAAGTGAGTCCCACTGAATTCAGGGAAACTATCTTTTGAAGAAGTGTGGGTAGGATTTTACTGCTTCTAAGTGATCTTGAGTGCAAAATCTATGCATGAATAATATAATAATAACTTTATTTATATACTCCGCCACCATCTCCCCAAGGGGACTCGGGGTGGTTTTACATGGGGACAAGCCCAAATCACAGATAAAACAACAGCAATTAAAATCAGTCAAATAAAAAAATAATACAACAAAAAAGCAATATCATGGCTGAAAACCAGAATCGGACCTAGGTCCGGGCTCAAGTAAGTGTAGTGAAATTCCTAAATAGAGCCGGGGAAAGTGCAAAATTCCAGTGTGCCAGTCTAGCGAGAGTACCTATGGCCATAAGGTGTGGAGATTAGTGGGGGATGGAACAATTTCAACTCTGGTACTGGTTTAAAGAGTATGGAAATAGAAAAGAACAAGTTTAACAGTTTTTGATTAATGGATATAAAATATCATCATGTGATCCTATGCCTCACACATTATACAATCTATAATGTAATGTAATGTGTGTGTGTATACACACAAACACACACATATCCTAAGCCCTTTCTCCTGGATTATTCAAAAATACACATCAATCACTCTTTTGTATCCAAAAGAAGGCAATTGGGGCCCCTTCCACACAGCTGTATAAAATCCACATTAAACTGGATTATATGGCAGTGTGGACTCAGATAATCCAGTTCAAAGCAGATATTGCGGATTATGAAACTTTAATTTGACTCTACAAAAATAGTTCAGTTTTAGACTTTGGCAAGAAACAATTGCAAACTTTTTCTGTAGCTGTAGACCAGTGGTTCTTAACCTGTGAGCCACGGCCCAGCAATGGAACATGAGAACAAAAGTCTGGTCCATGAACCTCCTTCCTCTTTATTTATTTATTTTATTTTATTTCCACCCCTTTTAACAGAGCTAACCAGTCCCACCCCTTTTGATACTAATGTTGGAGAGTGGTCCCTGATCAAAGTGGTCATCAGTCAAATGGGCCCTGCTCAAAGTAGGCTCTAGTCAAATGGTCCTCGGTCAAGTGGGCCCGTGTCAAAGTGGGCCCTGGTTAAGTAGGCCCTGGTCAAAGTAGGAGCTGGTCAAGTGGGCCCTGGTCAAAGTGGACCCCAATCACGTGGACCCTGGTCAAAAAAAGGTTGGGAACCACTGCTCTAGATCCATACAAGCAAACCAATTAAAAATTCTGTGTGAAATCTTAAGTTGTTCTCTAAATGTATACAGCGATATGTTTTAGGGATTATAAAACTGCTCATGCTCAGTATAATAAAAAACTTCTGTCATGGAGAACTGAAAACAAAGCTCTTTGTTCAACACTGAGTTTGATTATTACCTCTTAGTAATTTGGGGAATACGTGACAAACTGTACAAACACAACTGATGTTTGAAAGCACACTAGGGGCAAAGTACACATATTTACTCAAGTCTAATGTGCCATTGAGTGTAATACGTACCTCAATTTTCAAAAGCCTGAAACCAGAAAAAGTATTTGCTGCTGAATGTAATGCACCTCAGCAAAAAGTGCACTCTTTGTCATTTAACCTTAAAAGGTATACATTACAAAGGTATACATTACAATTGCTATGTGCGTCTTTAAAAACAAAATTGTTGCTCTCAGCAACAGAAAAGAAAACCTTAGGGGCATCTATGCTGTAGAATGAATGCACTTCAATTGCCCTGTTTCAATTCTATGGTATCATGGGGGCTATAGTTTTATAAGATCTTGAGCTTCTTTGCCAAAGTAGGCTGGTGCCTCACCAACTACAAATCCCAAGATTCTATAGCACTCAGCCATGGCAATTAAATTAAAGATAATGTCTTTTAAATAGCAGCTCCAGGCGCAGTTCCTGAAGCAACTTCCCCTTTTGCTTTGGCTTAGACTAAGATTTCCATATTGCACAAATCTAATGTGTACACTAATTTTGGCAAGATAATTTAATTTAGCCCAAAAAAAGGTGAGCATTAGATTTGAGTAAATACAGTATTTTCTCAAATTAATTTGCTATATATCTTTTCCTTTAATTTGCTGGATGCAACAGCTTTCAATACTTAGCTATATGATACTGCCTTGAAGCAGATTTAAGCATCTGTCTACTGTACTGGAAGTTACTCTCCCATTCTTTCCTGCCTTTGCTGACCAGGATCTTGTGCATGAAGACCATATGCTCTGCTGCTGAGATATGGCTCAATGCTTAAAGGTTCTTGCTTGTATATACATATGCTGCCTGTCCATCAGGACTCAAACCAATGGCTTCAGGCAATAGCAGCTGCTGGCTCCAACACCAATTTGGTAAAGAGTTTGCTCTGTTCAGTAGTTACAATATCATTATCCCAACTTGTCTGCACACACATACCTTCAAGTCACTGTCAACTTATGGATACCCCATAAATTTCACAGGCTTTTCTTAGGAAACAGATATTTAAAGATTATTTTGACCATTATAAAATACCAGCTGTCCTCTGCCACGCACTGCTGTGGCCCAGGCTGTGTATATGTGTTTTCTGTGTGTATATATTTGTGTATATGCATCTATATGTGTGTGTGTGTGTGTGCGCGCGCACGCGCGTATGTGTGTATGTATGTATGTATGTGTGTGTGTGTGTGTGTATATATATATATATATGTGTGTGTGTGTGTGTATATATATATATATATATATATGGTTTGTGCATGCACTGTAATGTATTTTTTTTTGCTTTTTTTTGGCTTCCACTGTGTTTTTCAATGTTTTTATGAGTGATGGACACTTGTCAGCCTGATGGGGGTATTGAGTTCAAATTTGGTGTCAATTCGTCCAGTGGTTTTTTAGTTATGCTAATCCCACAAACAAACATTACATGTTTATGTATATAGCTAGCCATTTGGCATTCATTGGTGGTCTTCCAGTCAAGTACTAATCATGGGTGAATCTGCTTAGCTTCTAGGAGGGGGTGAAATCTGGTGACTTCAGGTATTTGAGTCCCAAGTACAACAGTGTATTTACATACATTTACTTTCACTTTTATTGACCATTCCAATGATCTTGTTCACGTGGGCACATGATCTGCACCCACCCACCTACCCCCCCCCAACCCCCACAAACCCCCTATTTTTGAAACAATGAAACCTTCCTAGCACATTATCATAATCTAATGTGCTGGAGAACAAGTGGGCAAATAATGACATATCCAGCCCTCTTCTTTTAGTAAGGGCATGATGTCTACCCATGTGTGTTGTTGTCTCCTAGTGCAAGATCTCAACCACAGTTAACAATGCTGTATTCAGATTCAGCACCTTGGAAAGCTCCCTTATAGTTCATGACTGCAACTTGGAGTGAATTCACCATCCTAGTAATGTGGAAGTCATTAACCACCACAAACCACAGATCTAGACAGCATGCTGAAATGGCCCCCAGAGCCTTCTGGCTGCTTACACAAAACAGTGCATCTGAATCTGATTCATATCTTGAAGAATTCTTCATAGGTCAGATGATATGAACACAGTTGTCATTGCGCTGAGAAAAGGGGATCCAAAGCATAGCGGTTTATGTCAAAATAAATCTGTTCGCTTTAAAAGTGTCATAAGACACTTAGCCACTTCCACGCACTTCTGTGCCTTCTTCACAATAGTCCTTACCATCATCCAACAAACACAAGGTTCTGGGATGAACCAGAACACAGTTAGTGAATCCCTGTTGTCCACAGATGTGGCTGAACTCTACTTTTCCTCATCCCCAGCCAAAAGGGCCATGATGGGAGTTGCAGTTCAATAACACCTTGGAAGACCACAGGTTCCCTGTCCCTTCATGAGGGAAATAAGATCCTTTCTCACATGGATATTTGAATCTTTTAACAGTATTAAAGGGTTTAAGGAATTTTAATTTATTAGTTGCTTGATTGTATTTTCATATTTCTGTGTTGTGGGTTTAAAATGGCACTAGTTTAATGCTGTGAACTGTTTTGGATCTCAATCTAGACCTCACAACCTCTGAGGATGCCTGCCACAGAAGCAGGCAAAACGTCAGGAGAGAATGCTTCTAGAACATAGCCATACAGCCCGAAAAACCTGCAACAACGCTGTGATTCCGGTCATTAAAGCCTTCTACAACACATCTTCCTAGTGTGTTTAGTAGTGGAGTCTTGCCATTGGGATCCATTGCTCCGAGCCCTACATCAGAAAAACAAGCTGGCCCCTTCCTCAGTGGAACTCTCTCCCACGGAGTGTGGTGGAGGCTCAGTATTTGGAGGCTTTTAAGTAGAGGCTGGATGGCCATCTGTCAGGGATGCTTTGAATGCGATCTTCCTGCTACTTGGCAGCGGGTTGAGCTGGATGGCCCACGAGGTCTCTTCCAACTCAATGATTCTATGATTCTAAGGGTGATGCTGTCCCTTCTCAGCCTTCTCTCCTCAAGCTCAAGGGACCCACCTCCCTAAGCAGCTCCCTCAAGGCTGCATCCCTCCTCCAGCCTTCCCACGAGCTCCCATCCCGGAGAAGGCAGGCAAACTTCGCCCAGGCAGGCAGCAGTCGCCCCCATCCATGGCCACAAATAAACACGCGCGAGAAACTTGCGGCTCCCTTGCCTGCTTGCCTGCCTGCCTGCCTGCCGGAGCGCCCGGGCTCCCACTCTCCGCCCACTCGCCGGGAAGCGCCTCACCTGCAGGAGACGGTGACTTCCACTTTGGTGGCCGGGATGTTGCCCGTGAGGGGGTCGAAGTCCCTCACCGACGACGCCATGTCCTCGAGGTGGTCCATAACGTCGTCGTCCTCCTCCATAGATAGGGCTCCTCGCGCGGCTCTCTCTCAACAAGTCTCCCTCCGCCGGAGAAAGAGGGCGAGGAGAGAGAGGGAGGGAGKGAGGGAGGGAGGCAGACCCCCTTAGCAGTCCCCAAAGAGAGCCGCCCAGCCTGCGCCCCCTCTCTCTCCTTCCCTCTCTTTCTCTCCCTCTCTCCTAATCCTCCTCCTCCTCTTCTTCTTCTTCTTCCTCGCGATTGGTTTCCCCTCGCCGACCCACGCGAGACACACAAACACGCCGCTCACATCTATATAGTACACCTCGCGCAAAGGCCAGGGTGGGGAGAGAGGAGGGGATGGATGCTGCTCAGCAGAACTCTCTCTTTCTCTCTCTGTTTCTCTCTCTCTCTCTCGCCCTCCCTCCCTCTCCTTGTGATTTTGTGTTATCTCTCTGATGATCCCCTCAGTCCACGGCGTGGGCTTGGGCACACGCTCCGCCCCCTGCCTGCCTCTACACGGAGAGAACCGACGCCGCTTGGACGCCGCTTTCCCCTCCGTGGCTCAAGGCGATGCCACGAAGGCACTTGGAGCTCCACGAGGGAAATTGCGACGGAGTCCTGGGCCACTCTTTGCTTTCCTCTGCAATAAGGAGTGCTGGAAGTGGTACCTCACCACAGTCTCATCATTCCACAGCACTGAGCCATGTCGGCCAAAGTGGTGTCAAACTGCATTCCTTCTACAGTGGAGATGCACCGTCCCAGCAAGCAGAAGGGCCAGTTTCGGAAGGAAAAGGAGGAGAAGGAGGAGGAGGAGGAGACCCGGCGGCGTGGAAGGCGCGCGTGGGACTGAAGCGGGGTGGTGGCTTTGGTAGAAAGAGGGATGGGAACAGCCGTGGCTTCCTTTCCTCCCGTGTCCCGTTTTCCGTGGGTGGCGGGAAAAAAGCCTGCGGTCTCCCCCGAGGGACGGCGGCTTGGCATCACGCGCGTGGGCGCCGCTTTCTTCCTTGAATTGGGGCGCCAAAGGAGGAGGGTGCACGGCAGCACTTCTTCGGGAACGGGTGGAAAGCGGGCTGGCTGTGCCTGCCTCCCAGCCTGGTTCTGAAAAGAAGGGAAGGGGGGCACTAAGGCCCCTTCTACACTGCCATATAATCCAGATTATCAAAGCAGATAATCCCGGTTTTTTATGGCAGTGTAGAAGGGGCTTGAGAAACCCGGTTGAGGAAGAGGACGACACCACCTCGCCCCTTTCTCCCATCCTCTTCCTTCCTCATGTTCTGTCCCTTCAAGTCTTTCCCGACCCTAAGGCGAACCTATTACGAGGTTTTCTTGGCAAGGTTTGTTCGGAGGGGCTTGCCTCCCAGGCTGAAAGTCACCCACTGGGTTTCCAAGACGAAGCAAGGAATCAAACCCTGATCTCCAGAGTCTAGTCCAGTGGTTCCCAATCCCTCCCCCCTTTTTTTTAACCAGGGACCACTTTGTCCAGAGACCACTTTGACCAGGGAACACTTTAATCAGGGCCCAATTTCACCAGGGACCACTTGACCAGGGGCCATTTGACCAGTGACCACTTTGACCAGTGACCAATTTCACCAGGGACCACTTTGGCCAGAGATCACTTGACCAGGGACCACTTTGACCAGGGACCATTTTGACCAGTGACCAATTTCACCAGGGACCAATTGACCAGGGACCACTTTGACCAGGGACCACTCTCCAATATTAGTACCCAAAGAGGTGCAAATTGGTTTGGTTTTTTTTTGTGAACTTTAGATTTGGTTTGGTTATTTGAGGTTCTGATCCAGAAAACTGTATTGGATAGACTACATCAGCTCTAGTTTCAGATGCAGAATATATGCCATCCAGTAGTCACCATCTGCTCGCCCACAGAAAGCCATATTTACTAATCTAGAGCTGATGTGGTAGTAGTAATCTTTTGTGGGTAGTCAGCCTCTCCCCTCCTGACATTCCCATTTCCTCAGCACTGTAAGAGGGTTTTGCAAGACCATTTGCTCTAGTTGCCACGCGATTTTGAGGCAACAGTGGAGAAATGGTGAGGCCACAGGCCATATTTTCGATCTTGTGGACCACTCATGGTCCATGAACCACAGATTCCTAACCACTGGTCTAGTCCACACCAACTGTACTCCTTTTTCCTGCCTGCCTTTTTAGAAGAAAATATGAAATGGAAGTATCCTCTCCGATTTTGGGAAGGACCAAAGATCAGAACTGTCCAAGCATTTCATGTTGGTGACACACTTTTAGACATGCATCATTTCATGACATAGTAAATGAGTTTTACTAGGAAAGTGGCCAAAATGTCGCAGGTTTGAATCCGGGGAGCGGCATGAGCTCCTGCTGTTAGCCCCAGCTTCTGCTAACCTAGCAATTCGAAAACATGCAAATGTGAGTACATCAAAAGGTCTGGTGGGAAGGTAACGGTGCTCCATGCACTCATGCCAACCACATTATCTTGGAGGTGTCTATGGACAACACTGGCTCTTCAGCTTAGAAATGGAGATGAGCACCAACCCCCAGAGTCAGGCACGACTGGACTTAATGTCAGGGGTAAACTTTTACCTTTACCATTTAAAGAGATATGAACACATACATAAATTGTCATCACGAAATGTATGGGGACACAACATATTGAATGAAAACCTTTTATTTATATATTTTGAAAGAAATGTCTGATTTATTGCTTATTTTTCATAGGCTCTGCACTGTTTTCTTTTGTTCATGAGATACACCTATGTCCTTGCAGCCAGCAAACTATTGTGTCATGACACACAGATTGGAAGGTTCTACTCTAGATGTTCTTGCCTCACGGCACCACTTCCTCTGAGCTTTGTCCCTTTTTGGAGACAGGCAGGGATGCGTGCAAGGAAGAGAAGGCTGCTGCTGCTGTTCCTCCTCCTCCTCCTCCTCCTCCTCCTCTCTTTACTGGGGTCTCCCCTCCAGGAAGACAAAAGCCCCTTCTACATTGTCAAATAATCCAGATTATCCAATCAGATAATCCAGATGATGTGCTTTGAACTGGATTATATGAGTATACACTGCCATATAATCCGATTCAAAGCAGATAATCAGGATTTTATATGGCAGTGAAGAAGAGGCCATTGCTTAGCTTTGAAGTCAGAACTATCCCAGGTCCTAAGTTTTCAAGCCAAAATCTGGGATCTTGAAATGGCCTCCTGTGATATCACAGGAGATGGGCCAGGCATTCATGATGCCACAAAGCACGATGGGTTAAGGACAGTTGCATAGAGTGTACCATTCAAAGAAGTGTTAAGTCTAACAAACAAGATGTGTGCAGAGATATACACATAATGTTCTCACCTTGAGATATTTTCTAACTCAAATTGAACTGAGTCACAGAGTATACATTAACTTGCTATACAGTTTAAATCAGCATGCAATGGGATCTTGTAGTAACTTAAGAGACTGGGAGAACAGAGTTGGTTGCATAAGATACATCTGAGAAAGGGTGCATTTACACTGCAAAATTAATGCCATGACTCTATGCTATGGAATTGAGGGAGTTGTAGTTTTGCAAAGTTTTTGGTTTTCTCTGCCCAAGAGTGCAGTTGTTAGTTAGGGTTGGTAGCGTAAGATGCATCTGAGAAAGTATCTGAATGCGTTCTGAATGCGTTTACATTCACCAAACTATAACCATCAGGATTCCATAGCACTGAGCAGTGACAGATCAAGTGGTGTCAAACTGCCTTTATTCTACAGTGTAGATGCATCCTCAGTCTACAAAAGCTTGTGTTACTAACTTTGTTCTCTGAGTTAGTCTCTAAGGTGATGCAACATCCCTTTGCAGTCTCAGATGCCAGATTAACATGATTATATGAGTATACACTGCCATATAATCCGGTTCAAAGCAGATAATCTGGATTTTATATGGCAGTGTAGAAGAGGCCATTGTTTAGCTTCCAAGTCAGAACTATCCCAGGTCCTGAGTTTTCAATCCAGTGAATGGAGTGAATAAAGATGTAAACAAGCTTCTGGATAACATATCAGAGACATCGGCCATGATGACATCAAAGCTTTAGAAACCACATAACACATAAACTTATCTCTCATTCTGTCACACATAGAAGCTTGTATGCTGCAGGCCACTGTGATAAAACACTCCTCTCTCTCCCTTTCCTCCCTCTGAGTAACAGGTGCAGGTGACAAAGCCCTGTTTATAATCTCTCCAGAGACATTTGTAAACAGAATTGGAAACAGAGGCTGAGTTAGGTGGTGCAGAGAGATTTGCCCCAAGACCTCAACTGAACAGAAGTGAGCTCTGTGAAAATCCAGAAACAATGAACCACTAATTTGAGATTTCACTTATTATCTCAAATCTACAGCTGTTTTGCAAAAGGAAGTCATGATCTCCCTAATTCCTCTTCCATTCATTTTACATTGCCTCCAAAAAAATTATTTCTTCCTATTTTTTGTGCCTGCCCAACCATTGACTTCCTCTTTCACCACTTTAAAAGCAGAACTCAAGCTTTCTTCAGACAACCTCCAAGCCTGGAAACCTTGGATGAAAACTGGCCATGCCGATTTGATCTATTCTAGAAGCGTCACCCCCAAAAAAGTAGTTTTGTCAAACTCTGCAGAACCTCCATTCAGCTCAAACAGTTATATTGGGCAACCAGGTTTCCCATTTTAATATGCCTCACTACTTGTGCCCCTGATAAATGCACAATTAGTTAAATGGCCCTTAGTTGACCTTATAATTCTGGCCAGCACATTTGGTGGATGTTTATAGGCTATGAAACCATCTGTGCCATCCTTCTGCAAGCAAGCCTTTTTATTTGAGATAACAATTTTCTTGTGTTCTTCTATATGTTTTTAACCATTTTAATACTGTTAATTCTACTTTCATGCCAAACAAAAACCTATTGTAAGTCCCAAGTTAAAAAAAAAAAAAACCTCCCCAGCCTCCAGCCTATGCCAGTTCCACTATCTGCCAGTTTGCCACCAAGCACAATTCAAAGTGCTGGCTTTAGCCTATAAAGCCCTAAACAGTTCCAGGCCAGCTTACCTGTCGTATCTCTGAATGTATCTCCCTCTATGAGCCACCTCAGAGGTTAAGATCTTCTGGGAAAGCCCTGCTCTCATTCCTGCCTCTTT